CAGCCTCTTTTCCCTTCTGAGGGGGTTCAGCAGCTCCCAGGAGGAAACAGCTGAGGAGGGGGGAAACTGCCAGGGTTGCAGCCCCTCCGCTGCACCCCCAAATATGTCCCTGTGCAGGGATAGGCCGTGTTCTCTGCCACCACACCCCATCCTCGGGGTCCCCTCTTGCTCCCCCAAGGGGGACACCGTGCTCAGGGGGCTCTGTGGTGGCCCAGCCCCAGCTGAGGGGGGGGACAGGCACTGTGAGAGCGGCAGCAGCAGTGGACAAAGGCAGCTGCAGGGCTGGGGGGATGGATGTGGGGCGATCCTCATTAAATTGACTTTAATTGTGCTCATTTGGCCTCACTTCATTGATCAAACCTCACACAGCAGTTATCCCCACGGGGCGGGGGGGCTGCCCACAGGGTTTAGACACCCACAGTGGGGGTCTGTCTGCCCACTGGGGGCTGCCCAGAGGGAAGCCACCCACGGGAGGGGTCTGCCCATGGGGAGGGGTCCTGCCCACAGGGCCGCCAACTCATGAGGGACAGTCTGCCCAGAGAGGGGGGTTACCCACAGCAGGGGCTTGCCCAGGTTTGATGTTTACCCTCTGGGGATCTGCCCACTATGCCCAGGGACACAGCCCTGGTGCTCCACAAGCCCTGGACTCAACCCCTTCCCACCCAGCACCAGGGGTTCCCCCGGCCCCTTCCCACTGCCACTCCCGCCAGCGTCACTGTGGGAAGGAAGAGCCTGAGAGCCGCTTTCTGTGAGGTTTTTTTGGTTTTCTTTTTCAGTCAGGAAACTCTTTCCCAGCACTCCCAGACCACCGGTGGCTGCACACCGTGTACCCGCACACCGGGATCTGCACCGCGCTCCCGTTCGGCAGCGATTCCACTGGCGCTGGGATAATCCATAAGGGCCCTTCCCCGGCCTTTCCCACGTGGACAGGGATCCCACGGGCCTTCGCACGGCAGCCCTGGAGGAGGATGCAGAGGCTGGGTGTGCGGTGCCACCCCGTGTCCTTGCGTGTCCGTGTGTCCCACGCCGTGTCCCCAAGCGTGGCTCCGTGCCGCAGCCGCACGTCCCGCTGCAGCAGAGCCTGTTCCCGGCTGTCCTTGTCCATCTGTCCCCGTGCCGTGTCCGTGCGTCCCGGTGCGCGGCTCTGTCCGTGCGGTGCCGGAGGGTCCCGGCAGCCCCCGGTCGCTCCCTCCTAACTCGATTGACGTCCCGCGTAATGAATCGCCCGCCGTAATCTAATCGTGGTTACGAGCGATTGGGATTTATTTCAGCGTTTTCAATCAATTACACCCTTTTATTGCCAAAAAAAAGGGAAAAAAAAAATCCCAAAACACCGGCAGGGACCCTGGTGGCAGCCGCTGCCGGGCCTCTGCTCCCGGTACCCCCCCCGGTGCTGCTCCCGCTCCCGTTCCCTCTGTGTGGTCCCCGGTACCCTGGCCCTGTGCAGCCCCCTGACATCACACAGCCCCTCGGTTGGCTCTGTCCCCTCCCACGTCGCCCCCTCCCCACATTGCACAGCCCCCCAACACTGCACAACCTCACACACTGCTCTGCATGGCCCCCCGACATTTCACTGCGCATCCCCCAACACTTATGCCCCCACCTCGCAGAGCCCCCAACCATTCCAAAACCCCCCCACTGCAGCCCCCCAACAGCGCATACCCCCCACCCTGCTCTGCAAGACCCCCCCACACTGCAGAGCCCCCCCACACTGCAGCCCCCCACTG